ATAACAGGACAAATAAAATTAAAGGAAAATACTATAAAATAAAGGAAAAAATGAGCAAGCGGGGTAGCAAGCCATGTGGCTAGCTAAATGGACATAGTGTGTGCTCTCTCACACTGTGTGTGCTGTGTTTCAAGCCACAGGATCTGTGAGAAGAAACTGGAATGGCAGTGGGTCTGTCCCTTCCTATATAGTGTGTGTGTGTGTGTATATATATATATAATCCAGAATCTAGAGTACGGGGGTGTCTATGGTGCAGGCACAGACCCGCGAACATGGCTAACAAAAATCTCTGGTCAAGAGTGCACAGGTGCGCACACATCCTCACATGGAGCATCCACGGAGACACTATTCAAAGAAGAATCTAGTTTTTATTGCAGCTGCTGGAGGCAGTGTTTTTTTTGGGGGGGGGGGGGCGGTTAATGTAACAGTTTTAAAAACTGCCAGGCTGATTAGTCTGACTAGGGTATTGATGTCAGACTCCCCCCCACCCCACCCCACACCCCTCCAGTTTTGGCAAACTGAAGTAGCTGCTGCGTATGTTCCCATCATCAATCACAAGGAAGCAATAGTCTGCTGAAAAGGGCAGAATTCAAATTGTATTTCTAGAGCAGTGGGAAAGTCTTCAGTAATTACAGTTCAGCTCCCTTTGTGCTGTTTGCATTGAACCTCAGTCATATTTGTCGTGGAAAATAGAGTTGGGTGAACTAGTTTCTAATAAAATTAGAACTAATCCAAACCTTCACTCCAAACTCAAACTGAACTTTTGAAAATTAATGTATTAAAAATTACTTGTCTTTTTAAAAACATTTCTTATGGCAGGGAGTCACCAGATGATTCAGTTTTACATAGTTTTACAAGATTTACAAGTTCTTTTTCTTAGTGTGTTAGCAAGTTTTTACACCTAGAAGAAATGCTATGGTGGTAGTTTTTTCTGATGCAGTTCTTTGAGGGATGTGTGGCAAATAATCAGGCTCTCTGCCTTAATCTGTCTAATGAGAATTGATTCTTGAAGCGGAGTTGCTCCCTGGGAACCAGGCATTAAAGTTACTTGACATCTTCAAAAAAGGGGTTGCTATGTTACAAACTGACCCAGTATGAACACTAGTAAATTGCAAGTAGACCCAATCACTGGGTCCTATATGCTTCCAAGCCAACTGAGTCTGGACAGAACTTTGTCACTGTATCGAACTCTGGGCTAGACTCCTGGGCATAGGCCTCTTGTCTGAAATGCTTCTCTCCAACTGCCCTAGCCTGTAAGACCAATGCCTCAGACCTCCTGAGCCCCATCATCCCTTACATACATTTCCTCAGAGTTCCACCTAGATTGTGGACACTGTGCAGTTACTTGTGTAACCTCTTCAAGGATGATGTATCAGGAAAGCTAAGTACACAGATTTAGCAGTGGACTTTCTTAACTGTATTGACTTTATTTTTTAAACGCTGGAGAGTTGCACATCTTCGAAAAATAACAGACTAGAGAGGCACTCTCCCCTAGTCTGAGCTCACCCCTTCTTGTGAGTTTGTGGTTCATCAGCATTTCAGGCGGGGAGAGTTCCTCCTGCCCCCTCTCTACTGCATATCCTTCTTGTGCATGGTGATCCAGCCCCCTGCACAGAACAGAACTCTACTCTTAAATAGGGACTCAATCTCTGTGCCATGTGCTCAAACTGAGATGTTCCAGACCCACCAGTCATGCTTGCTATCTGCCCTTGCAGGCCGCTGTGTAGAGAGACCATTGTTACCAGTACACAGGCCAGCAGATGAGTCATTGAAAGTTGATGGCCCCAGATTGCAGTCTTGATGACTTCAGTGAGGTGTCAGATATCTATCCCAGGCAGGGCAGCTGTTTGGAATGCACTATAATAGGCTGCCACTGGGCAAGTCCAAACTAGTGCAGCCCCAGAGCCAATATTTCAACACAGGTACAAAACACACAACACAATTTGATAGTCATATCCCATTACATCACAGCCTGCATGATGTTTGTGACTACCTCCGTTTCAGGACTGGTGTATATATGTAAATAAAATATGCAGATTCCAAATCACTAACTTCTCCTCCAACATTAAGTCAACCTGCAAGGCCTCAACTGCTACCACCCAGCATAAGGACAACGTCTTCCATTTTCATGCACTTGCATTATCCAGGAAGTCAACAATTTTTTTAAAGGCTTTGGTCTCATGGATAATTCCAAGGGACTCCCAAGCCCTTCTGTGATAAATCATAGTCTTCCCTGATCTGCTGAAGAGAGAGCTGGGTTATCTCCTTCCATTAATCCTACTTATGGTACACAGCACACTGACTCACTCTGTTATCATTACTAGTGTAATAGGTAAGCGCACTGCTGTGTGATTAAATTGCTCAGCTTTCCCATTACAAGCCTTGAGTCAAAGAGCATAGATTAATGCTATCACAACAGACAGAAGAAAGGCAGACCTTTACAGCATTCCTATCCAAACCAATTTACTGGAAAACAGTGTTCTGTGTATGAGAGCTTTATACTGTTATGTGAAGGGAGCGTGATAACAGCCCTGCTTTGGAGGAGTACAGCTGTGCAAGACTGCAGCCTGGCTGGACTTAACGCAAACTCTGAGCTTTGCTTTGGCCTAGAAAGCTGGTGTGTATGTAAGTACCACAGGCCAAGCTCGTACATTCTATTGAAGTATAATAAGAGGGAAATTATATGCAAAAACCTAATATCCATGCACTAGTGAGGCTGAGAAATAAATTAGTCAAAAAGCAACCATTGTTGAACAGACTTTTCTTGACATCATAACTTGGTCATTTTTTCCATGTGTAGTATTTTCTATTCCTATTTTTGTAGCTAAATATTGACATTAATCAATGTCATTAATGAACTACATAGCATAATAAAGATCAGTCATGGAGGCTGGATTTTTGCTTTGCAAGCCACATAGGACATTGGTTTTCCAAAATCAAAAATGGGATTGACTTGTATCTGGTTTCCATTTTACCCAAACCACAAATGTTTGGGTTGTCGAAGAATGGGGGGGAAAAGGTTCTTGTTTTAGCTCGTCTCTAATATGTGCCCTATAATATATAGGATATGCAATGGGGCAAGTTAATACAGTGGGGGGGGAATCTTAACCTTGAGAATTCCCTGACACTTTTCTTGAGTGGTGCTGGTTATTGGTAGTGTTTATTGCAGTGCCATCCCAGATGTGCCAGATATTCTACAAACATAGGAAGGCGGTCTCTGCACTGAATGGCTTACATTTTAATATCTCTATCTTACCATTGCACAGTATGATTTTTTTGTTTTGTTTTATTGTGTCTTGATAATTAATACAGATCAGTTCTCATTGAAGTGAACACCAAAGCATATGGCAGCAAGCAGGTGTGTAAATGTGAACCTGTCATAGAAGCTAAGACTGAAAGGCATGTAAGTCATAAATAACTTTTTCTGTTATACTTGGCACTCAGTCGTTCCAGCTTTTGTCATCTGATGTGGCAGGTGCGCTATCAGATTATTCTGTCTGGAAAGCAATGGCAGGCCTACTCAACCTCTAGATGAGTTATAATAATCTAAGTATACCATTTTGGTGCAGGAATGTAGTCTTCGCCTGGAGTGGTTCCCATGGTCTCCTATGTAACTAGTTGTTGTTAATTATTTTTATTATACTAGCCTGTAGAGGCCCCAATTGAAATTGGGGCCCCATCATGGTAGCTGCTGTATTTATACATAGGAAGAAATTGTAACAACTGAATTGTAACACTATTTTCTAAATACTTTCCTTGGGACATTGTGTTTTTACTGTAGAAATCTCAGTTCTGTTAACAGCCAATCCAGTCATCATTAAGGAATTTCTGGAATATATTAATTACTGGATTAGGTTGATCCGGAAGACTATAAAACCTATAGTCTAGCAATCACTGAGGGACCCTCTCTCCAGGAGGCTGGCTTGTTGTGTGATGTACTAATGGAAGGAAATGGAAACAGATCAAAGCATACATACAATAGCTGCCTTCAAGGACTTTTTTATATAAATAGTTGTGCTGACACAAGCTAATAGCAACACTGTCACAAGATAATGTGACAGTAACATGCAGAATCCATTATATTCATTGGACACATAATGACTTGTAGTGCTGTTATACACTAGCAAGATGATTAATTCATGTCAGTGCTACTCTGGCACTGCAAGGCTTTCTGTATTTAGACATAAGCAAGCCTGTGCATGGTTTAGCCTGCTGCAGCCAGGGTGTCCAATTCTAGGGAATGGTGGAACCAGCTCTTTAAGCCAATAAAGTACTGATACTGCAGGACTTGCAGCTGGTGGGCTCATAGGCCTGAGGGAGCCAGAATACTACACAGAGACCCTGGCCTCTGCATGTTTCAAAATCCATGTCAACCTTATGTATATTTCCTCATTCTAGTAACCAAGCAATATAATCTTAGTCCCAACATCATACTCCACCACTACACTCCCCCAAACTGCAAGTCCTTTTTTCCCCTTTTTACACTCTTGACAGGTATTCCTCTGTTTAAAGCATTATCAATGTAGCAAAACTGTAACACTTCAGAACATTGTGCAAAATAAAATGTAAGGGTAAAATTTCCTTTTGTGTGTCAGTTCCACTGCATTAAATGTTTGTGAAAGAAAACCAGATGTTTATTGGTGGTCCTATTTAAAAACAAAACAAAGGGTTCTTTAGTATTATGCAGTTATCTGCCTTCTGATGTGCAGCAAAGCAAAAAGCGGATCAGATAACATCCATGACAAAACACAGTAGTAGTATTCAGGCACATATACTCAGTGGCTCTTTAAGTCAAGTCCCTTCTGGGCTAGACTAACTAGGAAATGTAACCCACTGTAAAGACCAGATCAAAGACATTAATGGCATTAGTATTTAAAAGTAGCACAGTTCATGCCTGAAATACAATGCATGCCTCAACTATGACCCAAGCATATTTCTATGGAAGGCTCATTCAAATCATAATCCACTCAATTTCTAAATTGTAGAGATGGGACTAATTTATTATACATTTTTGTTCTAGAACAGCAAGTGGCAATTTCAATAATTTACATGGCAATGGTTACCAATAGAAACCAGCTAATAGACTACCAATGTGCACAATCTCCTTTTTCCTATCACTGTTCAATCTCATCCTGTTCTCTCAGATCGTTTATGTGTCACACTCATGTTTATAAATTATATTATAAGCTGTGTGACTCTTACACTGTACAAGGCATTGCAACAGATCGGGCGTTAGTTGGTACTGTAATATTGACAGCAATAGCAAGCACAATTGTAGCCTTCCTTATGCTAGATCCCACTAATTGGCTGTCCACAAAGCCAGTCATAGGGTGAACAGATGTCCCGATTTTATAGGGACAGTCACGATTTTGGGGTCTTTTTCTTATATAGGCTCCTATTACCCCCCACCCCGTCCCGATTTTTCACACTTGCTGTCTGGCCACCCTGGCCAGTCATGATTTGGAGAGATCAGATGTATGGGTTAGGAGGGAAGCTCACATGCTCATTCGACCTTTGCTGAGACTGCCAGAGTCGGGACTACTGGCAACTGGAGTGAGATCATCAATGAAATCCTGTCTCCGAGCCAGAAGTAAGTGGCTGAATAGGAAGTGTGTCTCCAGGATGGGTTTCTTGTAATTCATATTAGGGAAGGAATCAGGTATGTCCTTGGTTCTGGAATGCTGAAATAAGGAGCACATTCAGACTCCTTCTACAGCTAATTGCTTGACATAAAACCTAATCTCTGTGTGGATCTGTAAAGGAAATACATTGAGAGCGAAAGTTCAAGTTAAGTAAATATTTTTGCTATTATCTGAAAAATGGCTCATCTAGCAGCACAGGGCCCTTCTAACACCATGGTGGTACACTGATTTAGCCTTGACCCAAAGGGAAGAGTGACACCTATTGCATCACCACACCACAACCCCTTTTTGCACCAGCTAGTTCTTCATGATAGATCTCCCTATGCAAGCTACTCTCTATTTCACTGTATGTTGTTGAAATAGAGATGTCTTCCATAATCTGAGGGAAGTAATTACTGTAATTTGTTTTCAAGATTCTAATTGTACACGAAGAATGCCAGTTTCTCTTCATGATGGATGAACATATTTCAAATGTAGATAATTACATCTTTTTATTTGAGCTGCCAGCCTAGACACTTCCAATTTGTGATGTAATTGCTAAACTTATTTTTGTCTCTAATTGGAGTGGTTCTGGCAATACCCCGACTAGTATATTTAACCAGCCACTATTAAATTGCTTTAAATATAGTTCACTCTTGCTGTCACTGTCATTGTGGTTAATAGCATGAGATATATTCTTTAAATGAGTATCTTGTCACAGACATTTTGGATCAAGATAGGGACACTGAATGGTATATGTAAAATAAATGCATGAAAATGAAGCCTGCTGTATGTAGTTCATGACCATGTAGAAGCAAAAAGTCAAGTTCAGCTATCAATTCCATTTGTGTTGAAATTGAATTTATGCATGACTGCCTTAGCGTGGCTTGGGAGAGACTTTTCCCCCCCAACATATTCTCATAGTTGTGGCCATATAACACCTACCAACCCTAGGTGACTATCCTAGCCTTAAATGCAAAGACTGTGCTTACCCTGAGACTCCTGCCATGTGTTAGGAACTAAAGAACTTCAGTTGTTGTTTTAATGCCTACCTTTGTTACTGAAGAAAGCATGGATGGTAGTGGGCCGAAATAGTTACCCCCACTGGCCCATCAAGTCAACAGTTCTGGGGGCTACTGCCTAGATCAGTGGCCAAGAGGAGGAGGCAGGAGAGAAAGCATACAATAACCAGATCACCTATGAGAGACTAATGAATGTAATTGTTCTTTGGTTTTTCTCTACTGGTGTTTATTTCTTGGCCTTTTCATTAGAATGGATGAAATGTTGTACTGATGATTAATAGTATGAATTAAGTCATGGTATTGTAAGTGATAAAAGAATCAGATGTGTGTTTTCAGTTCCAGTCTAATAAAATATGTCCAACTGAGAAGATCAAGATCTTCCAGTGGGAAAACAGAAGCAGTTTATAATTAGTTTTACATTAAAAAAAAATATGACTCAGACAGTAATGCAATAGGAAATGCAGAAATGCTAAAACAGTCTTTCAGCTTCAAAAGATTTAATGTTTTCTTTAGAGTTTGCAATCACTTCACAGTAGCTCTGGGTACTTGTACCTATAGGAAAATCCCCAATACATATGATCTACTTTATTAATCCAAGGAGGAAAACTAAAGTATCACAATAAAACCACCCTCCTTCACCTATGCTATTCTTCGAGAGGCCTGCAGCCAAAAAGCCTGAGACAATACGTGTCCTGATAGTCAAGTATTTTTGAATGATCGAATGAAGAGAGAATTTGAGACCTGTGATGGAAAATGCCTTGTCACTAGTCCATGTTAAACAGGGTGCTTCCAATAAGTGTCTTCACTGATGACAATTGATGTGCTGTAAGGAGAGAGCAGCTTGCTCAGGTCATCAGGACTTCAACCATTTTGGACGTTAGAGCTCAAGACCAACACTTTCAATGCTGAAAGCAAAGTTTGGGAGGTAGTGAAGTGGAAACAGTATTCTAAATCACCTAATGTATTGGTCACAATATTAAAAGTTCTTGCTTCCTACAGTGAAAACTAGAGCTGACGTGATTTTCACTACCCTCATACACACACCCCCACCGAAAGGAGGAGGGAGAGAGTGTTTCTTTTTAAAAATTTCCTTTGAAATTTGGGTTTAGCAAAAAAAATTGAACCCCAAAATTTCAGTTTTCAGTAACTAAAAATGCCAAAGTCTTTAGTTAAAGAAGTGAAAAACATCCAGTTTTCACTTGCCAGAACTGCAACATTTATTTAAATGGACTATTTTGTGGGAGTGGGAAGAGGGGGAATCCATTTAGTCAAAAAAGAAAAGAAAAAAACAACAATTTTTTAACCTGTCCTACTAAAAAACACTATGGGTGCTGTGTCATCTTCACATTTTGTTCAATTTAGCATGATTTAACATTACATTTTTTACTTGATGAATACAAACTATTGACTTTGTGGGGCTACTGTGTGTGTTCCAGCTTTAGATGTCTTAATAAGGTACAGGACAAAGTAAATGTGGTTGTGGCAAATAGCTAAAAGTGTAACTCCTGGATAAAGATCCCCCCATACAGTACATTGGCAGATACATGAAACTTCTTAGATTTAGTTGTGTTTTCTTATCTGCTGCTGGAGGTGAGCCCCAGATTGCTGTAACATATTCATGTAAGACCTAATGTGGTCCCTAAAAAAGAAGAAATAAGTCATATTAGGAAGGCGCTGCTGAATTAATTCAAAGCTGTCTTTTATTTAATATGGAACTTTGGGTAACACATTGATATTCTTGAGTTTCACAATTTCAATATCTGTTCTCTCATGTGCATACCTAAAAGCATCAGAGATTAATTTGTGTAGCATTTGCAGTGTACTGGGCACTTAAACAGAGATGAACTTAAATTCCTGCCCTACAGAGATCACAATTTAAAACTAACATCCACTGAAGTCATTAGAAAGAGTTCAGTGAGGACATGCTTAAAAGAGTTTACAATCTAAAATATAGGTTCTGCCTGCAAATAACATAGACCCATCAATGTATTTGTCTGTTTGTATAGAGTGTGTCTTTTAAGGTTCATAGGAATTGCCATACCACTGGACTCATGTGGCGTACCTAATCCTGTATCTTGCTGAACATCAGCCAGTATCATAAGCTTCAAAGGCACATGCAAGTAGTAGACAATTATGACTAAGGTCCTACCAAATTCATGACCATGCAAATCTCGTCACGGACCCTGAAATCTGGTCTTTTGTGTGCTTTTACTCTATACCGTACAGATTTCACAGGGAAGACCAGCGTTTCTCAAATTGGGGGTCTTGACCCAATAGGGAGTTGCAGGGGAGTGTCAAGGTTATTTTAAGGGGGTCATGTTATTGCTACCCTTACTTCTGCACTGTTTTCAGAGCTGGATGGCCAGAGAGTGGTGTCTGTTTGCTGAGCTCCCAGCTGTGAAGGCAGAGCCCCGCCAGCAGCAGCATAGAAGTAAGGGGGGCATACCATGCCACCCTTATTTCTGGGCGGCCAGAGAATGGTGGCTGCTGACTGAGGGCCCAGCTCTGCAGGCACCAGCTCAGGACTAAGCCCTGGTCTACACTGTGGGGAGGAGGGGAGGATCAATCTAAGTTATGCAACTTCACCTATGTGAATAACGTAGCTGAAGTCGATGTACTTAGATCAATTTACTGTGGTGTCTTCACCGCGGTGAGTCAACTGCTGCCACTGCCCCGTCAACTCTGCCTGCGCCTCTCGCCGAGCTGGATACAGGAGGTGACAGGAGAGCGCTTGAGGGTCGATTTATCCCGTCTAGACTAGACACGATAAATCGATCCCCGCTGGATCGATCGCTGCCCACCGATCCAGCGGGTAGTGAAGACATACCCTAAGGGTAGCATGACCATACCATGCCATCCTTTCTCCTGCACTGCTGCTGGTGACAGCTCTGCCTTCAGAGTTCGGCTCCCAGTCAGAAGTCACCGTTCTCCAGCTGCCCAGCTCTGAAGGCAGCACCGCCAGCAGCACCGCAGAAGTAAGGGTAGTAGTACCGCAACCCCCCCTACAATAATGTTGTGACCCCCTCCCCAATCCTTTTTGGGTCAGGACCCCTACAATTATAACACTCTGACATTTCAAATTTAAGTAGCTGAAATCATTACATTTATGAATTTTAAAATCCTGTGACAGTGAAATTGACCAAAATGGACGCTGAATTTGGTAGGACCCTACTTATGATTAGAGCTAGTCAGGAACTTTCCATCTGAATGATTTTCTAACAGAAAAGGCCCTTTTCACACATTCAGTTTTCCAGGGGAAACCGATTTTTCTTTCTTCCCAATCAGGAAAATTGAAATGACTCTGCCCCACTTGTCCCTGTGGAAGACTCTGGTCAATTTTGCTTTCTGCCTGCAAGAAGGAAGTGAAATTGACAAGAACCTTTCTGCAAGGCAGCTGGAAAGCTTCAAAAATTCTGTTTTGTTTCTCCCTAAACAGAACTTTCTGGAAATCCCTTCTTGTGAAATGTTTTTTGACTTTTTGTTCCAATTTGTTCCAAAATAAATAAATAAATACAGAAAAGGAAGGAATTTCCATTTTTCAGCCAGCTTTAGTTATGACTAGCCTGCCCACAGAGTAGATTTCTTCCTAATGATTTGAGCCCTGATATTGGAGGGTTTAAGCTTTTATTAAAAATTAAAGTGTTTTGTTTCTTATAGCACTTGTCCCTATTCAGTGCTTGGGGTCCAGTTGTGCTAAGCATGTTACAAACACATGTGAAGATACATCAAAATAGTGGCAGAACTGGAAATAGAGCAATAGAATTCCCACCCACCCTCCATTTTTTCTTTCCCACCACTATAACACATCTGCCCATGTCGTCTTTTATATTAAAAAATCTAGAAGATAGGCCACATGACTAAATTGGAGGCAGGGATTATATTCCTTCCTGTGTCAGTGACCTTGAGCAAATCGCTTCACTTCTCAGTGCCTCCACTTTCCTAAATGGGATTAAAACTACCTCCTTTGTAAAGGGCTGTGACATCTACCCTTGAAAAGCAATCTGTACAAGTAAAGCATTTATTATTCTTGTGGTACTATACATGTCAAACATCATTGTTATTTAGAGACTATTCCTTACATTTACTGTAATCACTAAAAATTTGAAGTGTTCAGCTTAACATTCTCCTCAAAATTTTCATATGACAATTTGAGACACTGGACTTATTGCATGTAATTACCAATCTGTAAATACTTCCATGTCTATCTTTTTCTCCATTTCGATCAATCATGTTTTTATTCTACACTGAATACAATTGCACTACTGAAATTTATGCAGGAAAAAAACTGTTCCTTCTTCCTTCCTTTCATTTTCTACAATGGGCTGCTTTCTATCAGCATTATCTGAATGGTGTGTGTCAGATCCAAAGTCAAAGGTCACTTCTGAGTACTTTGTTTATTTTATTTCTCAAAATGTAAACAAAGCCCATACAAAAAGCTGTATGCATTTTAAAACTCTATTAGACTAACAATATCATGATAACCACCCAGCAGCATTGACTCATCATATTTAAACTCAAACAACCAGTAAAATTAGTAAAGCCTCTTTCACTCCAATTTTCAAAAAAGAGTTATTTTCTAATCACATCTCTTGCAATTAAGACATGGGGAAACTCAGCACAGTATAATATTATGCCATTAGGATCCTTTTGTGAGTGCTATTATCTCCTCCATCAATTATTTATACACACCCTTTTGTTAAGGTAAGTACTGTCTTCAGACAAAACTCACCGCGCAGTGGCAGGATCAAAGGCAAAAGATCCCAAGTCCATGTAGTATTGTGTTTTGGTTCTCAAAGCCGTCCATAATTCACTAACCTGAAGTAGAACAAAATGGCTGGTGTTACGGGATTTGATACAACCTCAATAGACTACAGGTCTTTTGGTAGAACCGTACCTAACCTGATATGAGAGTCATGTTCAAATAGCTTTTGTAGCATGGCATAAGTTGCTCAGATAATTATATAGGAGGACTCAGATAGATCCTAATTCTGAACATGTTCAATCATGGATTAAAAGGTGCCTGCAAAATCAGCCCACGGGAAAGCTGTGCAACCAGCTATGGATCTGATTATACAACTGTAGCATAGCTTGCTGTTTCAAATTCACACACAATAAATCACATGCAAACCTGAAGCGAACTTCTGAGTTTCGTACTAAATTGAGTTTTGCCTCCACTCTACCATAAATAAGAGTCCCCTGTAGGGCCCCAATATATATAGTCCCTTGGGAGAGGCGGAAAAGGGGAGATTGCGGTCAGTACTCGAGGCATGAGATGAGTAAGGCCTGGGGATCACCTAGAAGTCAGGATGGAGAGGAAAGTCATAGATTTTAGAGATGTTGGTTCAGAGCTGATGAGATTTGATAACAGCTTGGCTCCCGGAGCAGAAGGAAAGAGAATTTGAAGATCATCTGCATTGCAAGGCTGGGTGATGGAGTACAGGAAAATTGTCAACAGAGATTGGAAGCCAGACCGAAAGGAAGGTGTGGATGATGAATGTAAACTTGCAGTAGCATTGCCTGTGCCATAGCTGTGGCTAGAAGCCATCTGTTTCCAAGGCTATGAATCCAGCACAGTTTACCAGAACAAGATTAGTCTGTAGCGAGATGGTGATGGTGGGGAGTTTCACTTTACAAACCCTTTATTGCAAGAGGAAATGTGCCAGATAATACTGGCCAGATCATCATCTAACAACTTTACAATTCTTAGAGGCATGAATAAGGAAGCTATTGACTATAGCATAAGAGAATGTAACCATGAACTATTCATGCTAGTACTTTTCCAGGAATGAGTTCAGTAATAATGGAATTTTGGTGTCCCTTTAAAAGCCAGTACCATATCTGCAAACAGGCAATCAGAAGGCAACATAGATATTTCCAATCTCTTACACAGTGTGAAGTTATCAGAAAAATACCTGTTCAGCCAGAGAGTAACCCCATGCATTCTGGCTGTTGCTTGGATCCCAATAATTCTGAGAATATGGTGTTTGTCTTTTAAGTCGTATAAACTCATTTGCTTCTTCTTCAGACACAAACGGTGCTCCCAATACACCTGAAATGGAAGTGGTGCAATGTCATAATGTTTGTGTGTTATTTTAGAACTTACACTTCACATAAATTTGTAATCATGAGTCATTCCTTCACAGAACAATGTTAACCCTAAACCAATGTATTAGAGCTCGTTCAAAAGGAATATTTGAATCCAAATTAGACCACAAGTTTAGGTTTTTGTAAAAGTAAGATTTTACAAACCTACTTCCTGTGGAAGGGTTTCTGCAAGTTTTCATTTAAATCCAAATGGGAGAAGTTATTTAAAAATTAATCATTCCACTTTATTGTGTGTGTAACATAAACAGTCCACCAGGGAGAGTCAGAAAGGGGAATTGCTTAAACTGATCATTATCAATTCTGAGAGAAATACAAAACATAAAACATAGCTAGCAAAAAGTAATCTAGACTTTACTATCCCTTTTCTTTTCTTTTTGGCGTGTGAGTGATTTTTGTATTGATTTTCATTAAAAAATAGACAATGAAAAGTACAAAAACAGAAATGATTTAAAGCTTGTTTGTTTCCAAATACCACACATGTCACAGGCTAGCCAATAGAATTACCCAATGTCACAACATGTCCGAGTTGTAAGACCAGACAATACAAAACACTCTTCCTCTCCCTCCATGCCCCTCCTTCCTTCCCTCTTCTGCCTTTTCATGTCTTCTACAACCCTTTCTCTTATTACTCTAGTTATTAGTACTATAGCAAATACATGTGTTCTCTAGTCTTACTATCCAGGATGGGCAGGGGTCTGTCACAGGGGGTGGCCCTGATCTCCATCAGTGGTTCCATGGAAGCTACTTGGTGAATGTGCCTAGTTCATAGACGGAGAGGTGTTGTGTTTCTGGTCTTGCTCTCAGCTCGTTCTGGGGAGACTTTTCAGTCCCTCCCTGATGCAGGTCATCTTCTCTGTGAAATGAGAATTCCTCTCAACAAGAGGGGTTCTCTATTTGTCTCATTATTTCCACCTTAGGTCTGGTCTACATCTAAAAATTAGCTCAACCTAGCTATTGCTCAGGGCTGTGAAAAATTTTGTACCATGTGAAACGGAGTTAGGTCATCCTAACTGTAAGGTGATGGAGTCATCTGTGAACTAGAACCTGATTAAACCCCATGTGTTGATGAGTCATGCTTGTGGTAGGCTCTGACCAATCCACAAGTCAGGTGCTGATCTAGTGAATCTCAGGGCAGGTATATAAGCCTCACAGGAGAAAGAGCAGCTCAGTCTGCTCAATGTCACTTCAAGGCTTCGAACTCTCCCCTGCCTGATCGTGGTAACAGACTCCACATGCCTTAACCTGCTCCAGCCTTGCTCTTACTCTGGTCTTGTTCCAGCCCCACTCTGGACTCCTGATTCCGGCTCTAAACCCTGGTTCCAACCATAAGCCCAACTGCCATGGCTCTGACCATCCCCATCAGTTTCTGACACTAACCCCCACTGTAGATGCAGCTAGGTCCATGAAAGAATTCTTCCACTGAACTAGCTCCCACCTATTGAAGAGATGTATTAACTACATAGATGGAAAAACTCTTTCCATTGATGTGGGACGCGTCTACACTAGAGTGGTACAGCTGCAGTGTTGTAGCTGTGCTGCTGTAGAGTAGACATACCCTTAGTATAGTAAAAGGTTTTCCCTTTCCCTCTGCAACCTTAACTTCAGATCTTATGGCTTGTGTATACAAAAAAGTTGCAGTTTAATTTAAAGTGTTATTTTAAACCAGTGTAGTTAAACTGGTACAAACTTGTGTGGACACTCTTGGTTTAAAAACTGAAATAAAAAAGTCACTCAAACTGAAATAAGTGTGTCCATACACAGGATTGCCCCCATTTTAGCTAAATTGGTTTAAAATAACACTTTATATTAAACTGGTGCAACTTCTGTGTGTACACAAGACTATAGATTCAAGCAGAGTTCTGTACTCTTTGCACATTGCATCCAGTAATAGGAGTTCTGCAGGCCAAACTATGGAATCACTGACCTGTATCCAACTCCATGGCTTCTACTGAATTTGTACAGGGAAACTGATTTGAACTTAGTAAACCCTTATGTTGATTATGCACAATAATGGATAGAATCCAGCTCACTCCCTCCCAGTTAACCCAGCAGTGTCAGTTCTGCTGGGCTAACTGGAATAAAAACCTTCATTTGTCACTAGCAAGACCATGTACAGGGAACAGATTTGTGGAGTAAAACTGCTGCTTATATTTACAATTCTGCTGCTTTTCAGAGCCAAAAAGCGCTTGAAAACTAGACTGGAAAATTGAAGAGAAAATGTCATTGTTCATACAGAGGCTAGCAAAATGGGGCCCCATCTGGCTCTGATCTTCAGATGTTGGAATATAAATGTAAAATAGTAGTAATGCTAGAGCAAACAATTTTGCTTTGCCAGAAAGATGGACTGGATGTCCTAACAGGTCTTCTAGCCAACGTTTGATGTGCTTCTTATACTTTGCTTGCTCAAACTGTAGGTTAACATGATTAGAAACAGGAAGCAGAAATTCAGTCATCTTCAAATAAAACTACTCTTCAATTGAACCAACTATGCAGATGAACTAATGCATATTCCATGGCAAATTGTCTCAGTTTTAAGCATAAAATGCTGTTTCTTAGGTGACTACGAAATAGCTAATTATTCCTGGGTTTCTGAAAGCAAGAAAAATTCCACAGAGAAATATTTTCTGCCTCTGTGCATGCAAGTAACACATGGCTGTTCCAGAGTTCAAGAGATTCAAACAAGCCTCTTTTACCAAGAATGTAATATTTCTTAGTCAACTTATATGAGCTTCTATCTAGGCATATATTTTTATTTTTATTTTTTTTAATATTGAACATATTTTGCAAACGTCATTACTATTCTGTGGTGAGATACTTGAACTTTGGTCAAAAATAAACACCATAATGTGCATTGCTATCATAAGACTTAACCTTTTTCATTGAAAAAATGTAGTTAGTTGGGATCACTGATGTTGCTTAAGTTTTGTTGCCGAAGAGTACTTTGGACTTGTGACTTCTTGGTGAGTTACAATAAAAAGCATAAACAGAGTAGCTGTAATTTTTCTCTTCAAAAAATGAGCATATAATATCTACTTTGTGGGGCAGTGAGGTTTTATCTTGGCTCCATTGGTGGCAAGTTCTATGTTTTAAAGGTATTAGCTTAAATTTTAATGGATACATATTCTTCCTAGACTGCACCAATAGCCAATGGAAAATGCCATTCCATGAGAAATGTATTCTCATTTTCTCATGCAGAATTAACCTGTGCAAGAATGAGTGGGGCATTTTACTGAGAAATTACATACACAAAAGGAACTTTTTGACTGTTTGTAAACAGGCAACTGCACACAATGCTGTTAAAACAAAGAGAAAAGATGGTCTTGTGGTTCAGACACAGAATTGGGAGTCAGAAGATCTGGTTTCCATACCCATTCTGCCTCCTAACGTCCTGTATGATCTTAAGACATGTTCCCTAACCTATGCCTCAATTTGTGCTTCTGTAAAATGGGTGTAATTCCTCTCTTCTTGTTGAACAGCTTGATTAATGTTTGTAAAAGAATTTATAATCTTCAAATAAGTATTTTATAGATGCAAGTCTTACCTAAGAACTTTCTGCTGTATGCAATTCCAAATCTAGCAGCATACTTGCCCCAAAATTAGAAGAGCAGAATGTTGGAGCATCCAGCTGTGAGACTGGACATAGTTAGCCGGAGCAAGTGTGATGGATAGGAGTCAATGAAATTGCTCACAGTGCATAATAGTATCCTTAGGGACACCGAATATTGAAAGTTCCAGTGAAACAAAGATAAGTCAGTAGTAAGAAGGTCAAACAATGTTAGATATGTACGTTTTTACTCTGTTACTGTTTCTTTTTTCCCTCAGGATGAAAATATTATGTAAGAATAATATAGAGTCATGGCCAGAAGGGGAAGATAAAAGGAACATCTTTGAGGAGTGAGCTGCTGTGAGGATTACAGCAGCTTTTACCAGGTTGAATGTTTGATTCCCTGCATATATCACTCATGTTTTTGGAAGACTTCACTAAATATTCCCACACCTAAAATGAATCTTATTAAAGTCATCAAGTCATGCTTGGTGGCTTAGTTTTTATAATCACTGTCTGAGGCAGAGAGTTTGGTCTTCCCTGGAGATATAAACAATAGTTATCACTATTGTCCCAGTGTCTTCAGAGCATCTCATTGCGGATTAGTGAAAGCTGGCACAAGATTAAATTTGACCGTGAAGAAATGTGACATTCCCCAGGGTACAATCTGGACTGCTGAAGAGCTGTGTCCCCTCAATTCTCCAACCTGGGGTGTCTTTTACACTGCTTCGCTGTGAGAGCTGCCACTCTTGGCCTTTGTCACACACAGCCTCTAGCATGGAAATTACTCCCAGCTGAGTTACATGAGTGCTTCTAGCCAGCCACTCCTGAATTGTATTGCAAAGTGATACCAAGAAATTCCCAGTCTCACACTTGTCCCCAAAAATATACGTCCTTGTACAGCTCTTTCCTTCTGGACAACACAAGCTCATAGAAAGTCCATCATTTCATTAACAGAAAATGATATGCACAAATCCTGTTATCTCAAGAGGAGGTTCCCAAACACTACAATCCAAACACACACAGGTTTAGATAAACCAAGTTTATCTAACAATAGAAAAATAGATTTTAAGTGATTACAAGTAATGAGCCATAAAAATCAGAATTGATTACAAAGAAATAAAAGGTAGAACACAAACTAATACCAAACTTAACAAGCTAAGTGAATTTAAAGCTACAAGGTTTCTTTCACCACATATTTACAGCAGTCTGGCTGAATCTTTCAGCCAGGACCCCTCCCCCAGTTCAGTGATGCTCCTTTTGTCTTTCAAATGTTGTTGATGCCATACGTGGAGATGAGGGGAAAGAGATTATTTGTGTCCTCTGTTCATCATTTTTATTTCTTTTCCTCTGCTTTGAGAATCATCTCCAGCTGGGGTTCGGAGTAGCCAATCTGTTCACACAGGAACCCCCAGCTGTTCCCTTGCCAAGATGTAAATGTCTGGTTCATACCATTCTTCCTGCCAAATAATGGCCATTTACCTAGGTGATAGTCCATTTGATTCTGTTGACACCTGGCTGAGGCATCACTTTTCCTTTTGTCTCTGAGGAATTGGTTTGGGCTGCTTCCCCAGATTTGGAATATGCCTTAATAACATCATCAATGTTACGTATAATGTTGCCACACATATTTTACCAGGACAATACTGATCATTGAATGATGAGTTTTCAAATGATACCTCACAAGGCATACTTGGTACAAAATTTATCATAGCTTTGTAAAAGTGGTGAACATAAGAGTACAGTCTGTCACAAGAGAATCTGTTTGACTCTTGTCATCTCTGTTCAATTAGTGAATGTGTACTCAATCCAGCCTGGAAGGTCAAAACTTGGCTGTGGAAAGGAAAATTAATTGGATTTAAATACTAGGATGGAATGAACTGAGGCAGGTCAAATATGCAAAGAGAGTAAAATTAACTTGAGTGTAGCTCTTAGTTTAACTTGTGTTTAAACCCTTAACACAAGTCCTGAGTGGGACTTTAAATCTGCTGCACAAGGATAGATTTCAGATAATGATTGCCAGTTGAGCACAAATCCCAGGAGTGGACAAAAGAGACTTCCTTTTGTTCACCTGGCGGAACTCCAGGCTACAAGGATCCCAGTACAACTATAGTAATAAAAGGAAAGACTTAAGAATAGGTGCTTAAAGCTCAACTCCTGAGCCTTGTTACACACCTATATAGAGGTGTGATTTTTCTGAAGTGCTGAGCAATAGGAGCTGCTGTGTGCTTAACACTCACGGGAAAATCGCCATCTATATCCAGGTCTAATTATGGACCTGGGATCCAAACTTTACCCACTCTTGAAAATCTTGACTATATAGGATGCAGCTCCCAGATCTTAAGTCAGCACTAGTATTTCACTACTAATTGGCAAGCTTTGACAACTGGGACTATATCTATCCCTTGTGCAACTCCACTGAAGTCTAGGATTTATTCTGACCATTGATATTTACCCCATACATTTTAATCTTTAAAGCAATGTGTCAGTGGGTAGCAATGTTTCAGTAATTGGTTTCCATGCACATTAGCAAATAAAGCTACTTTTTCTTCCCTTATTTTCTGATTTTTCCGCTTGTTTTTGCATGTCTGCCATTATTTCAAAACCCATAAGTAGTTATGTGCAGCAGTAGAACTTTAAAATTTGTAAAGTCTGCACTTGCTATGGAGCCAATCCTTCTCTTTTTGCGTAATATTTCTTTTAACCATCAGCTTTGAATGTGCCTGGTCAGAATGTCAGATTTAAAAAGCAGACTTGTCTGTGATATCAGATATTCAAGCTAGCACTGCCTGGATTACAACAGCTGAACTCTCAACCTCTGACCCTTTGGTCCTGTTAACGTTGCTGATGCTGACGTGTTGAGTACTTTGAAAAGGTAAACTGAATGCTGCTGCTTAGGGTTATTCTCTAAAGTTAGAAATGAGCCAAAACCATATCAGAATCTCAGCTTCAAATATTGCCCCCCCCCCACACACACACAAAAATGTACTGAAGATTCAAGAACGTGGACCAGAATTTTGCAGCTTCAAATCCATTGTGATTTGAAATCTGTTTCAGTTGTCCTAATCTTGTGCTAGACACATTCATGACAAACATGAGATGGGGTTTGATAATGCTCTGCAGTCAAGAGAAATCTGGATTTGATTCTTATCTGTAGTCATTGTCAATTCCTCTGAGAGTTTCTGAAGGCTGGGAGCAATATACTGAGCCCTTTGGAGAAATATAGAAATTGCTGCTTTCGTAAGAGTTTAGCTCAGCTACATTAACTATGAGCGATCACGTGAAACTTCACGGAGATCAAAACTTGCTGATTGGACATGACTCTTTTCAGTTACAGGAAGAGGGTTGCTATGGGATGCATTTTAGGATTCCACAGACTGCCTTTGAGTTGCATGTTATGCACCCTATGTCATAAGTTGTGATTTGAGATCATTGATCAAGTCAAAAGATATAAAACTAAGTTTTGATCTGATTTATTGTAAAATTGGTAACTTGTAAACATTTGAAATATAAGCCTCATAAAATATAAACCGAGGCCAAAATATTTGTATTTGGATGTAGGCACTTATATCAATATTGAAGAATCTAAATAACCGAATAATTCACTTGGAGCTGTGGATACTCAGCAGCTCCGAAATACTGGCCATTTCTTGTTAGGTAACTAAACCTGGGTAAAGGTTCTCAAATTTCAAATATTTGGCCCTACTTGTTTGCCTTTATAGTTCTAACTATGACAGCCTCATTTACTTTTGTCCTATTCTTGATTTTTCATGAGCTTCTTATGTCAATTTGGACCATGCATGCATATGAGCTATTTGTTTTCTCAATAACTAGCAATAAGGTAAGGTAAGAATAAAGTTTGCAGAATGATTTTTAAAAATAATAAGCATTTAGCATTTCACAAACCACCCATTCGTCGTCAGAAAACCTCTTCCAGCTACGTAAGCAGTATTATCCCTGTTTTAAAGATGGGAAAGAGGAGAGAGGCTAAATGATTAGCCTAAAGCCATAGACAAGGAGCACGGTCAGGATTTTGACTCAGAGTTCCTGTTATCTAGTCTTGTGCTCAAGCCACCAGCCCATGCTCTTTCTGCTGTACCCTTCAGTCTTTTAGAACACCTCTGCTTTAGTACTGCTATGCCTGCAGTACCACTTCTCCTGTCTAACTCCTTCATATGAAATAAGACAATGACAGAATAACAGTACCAAGTGCTTACCTGTAAGCAGCAGAACTGACAGAGCAACTTGAACCATTTTAAGAGACATCAAGTGTAGTCTGGAAAACATTCTTCTTGATTAACTATGGATATTCATGCAGTTTTGTACTTTGCTATCTTTAGGTTTTATAAATCATTCACCAGCTACGTGTAAGCAGTCGGTGCAGACAGAGGGCAGGGTACAGTGCTTAGTTCAGATTTGTCTTACGTGCATCTCTTCGTACCCTTTGGACTTTGTGAGCTGGGCTTCTAATATGCCCCAACAGTTATTTTTTACATGTATACATAAATGTAATTTGGTAACATGAAATAGCACATCAAGCTCATACTGTAAATGTAGCACATGGCAAGGGTCTGCTCTTCAGTTTAATATTTTTCATAGATTTCAAGGCCAGAAGGGACCATTGTGATCATCCTGCCTGACTTCCTGTATAACAGAGACCATAGAACTTCCCCAAAATAATTCCTAGAACAGATCTTTTAGAAAAACATCCAAACTTAATTAATTACCATAATAGTTTAAAATGTACACCTTATTTCCAGTCTGAATTTGTCTAGCTTCAGCTTCCAGCCATTGGATGGTGTTATACCCTTCTCTGCTGGATTGAAGAGCCCATGATTAAATATTTGGTCACAATGTAGTTTACAGACTGTTAAACTCTTTGTTAAGCTAAGCAGATTGAGTTCCTTGAGTCCATCACAAGGCAGGTTTTCTAATCCTTTAATCACTCTCATGGCTCTTCTCTGAACTCTCTTCCCATTTATCAACATCCTTTATGAATTGTGGACACCGGAACTGGACACAGTATTCCAGCAGTAGCTGCACCAGTGCCAAAAACAGGTGAAATAACTCTACACTCCGCCTTGAGATTCCCCTCTTTATGAGTCCAAGGATCGCATTAACCCTTTTAGCCACAGTGTCGCACTGGGAGCTCATGTTCAGCTGATTATCCACCACAACCCCAAATCTTCTTCAGAGTCACTGCAGTCCAGGATACAGTCCCCCATCCTGTAAGTATAGTCTCCATTCTTTGTTCCTAGACGTAAACAGTTACATTTTCCCATATTAAAATGCATATTATTTGCTTACACCCAACTTAGCAAGCAGTCCAGATCTATATAGGGGTCAGTGAGCTGTCCTCTTCATTACTTACCACTCCCCCAGATTTTGTGTCATCTGCAAACTTTAACAGTGAGTATTTTTTCTTTTCTAGGTCATTGATAAAAATGTTCATTAGCATTGGCTCACCTGAATAGGAACAGGTGGGGCTTGTATAAAACCAGGTAGCTGAGGGCAGAGAGGGCTGCAGTGAGGCAGTCTGCTGTCCCTCTCTCTCAAGCTAGGAAAAGCGAAGGGAGCTTGGCCCAGAAGGAAGGGCATGCCCAGAGGAGTGTGGTGAAGGAGCCTGACAGAGGCAATGTAGGAAGCAGCCCAGCGAAAGAGCAGCAAGGTGTGGGACAGTGCAAACCTTAGCCGCTGGTTTTAGGGTCCATGGGCTGGAGCCCAAAGAAGTAAACAGGCTTTGGTTCCCTTACCAGCCACAGGGGAAGTGGCACCATTGAGGGACAGTGAATTGGAAGACTGCCTGGGACAGTCGGTACAGAGAGACTTTGGTACATACACCCCCAGAAGAGGAAAACTACAGTAACCTGGCCAGAGGCCCAAGCCATGAAGAGAGCGCACCGTGAATTGTAGAGAGAGAAAGAGGCATGGCAGGGCATGTGACTGAGCTGCAGGAAGAGGTGTCAGACTGGCAGAGCTAATCCCCAGACCAGCCAGGCTGAGACACCCTAGTAGTCAGAGCACTCCATGACACCTAACCATTTTCTTATCACTATTTTCTGCAGTCTTGAAACTCTGTGTTCCCCACAGCTAGGTCATTACTGCAGTCAGTATTTTTCATTCATCAGGTTTCCTCATATTCCAACATTCCGACCCATGCATTACAGTTGCCTCATATATGCTGACTTTCATTATTGAAATGTCCTTATCCTTCCAGTCTTGCCAAGTTTTCTGAATGCCACAGTAACTAGTCTGATTCTTCTTTTTATGTCTTCTTCACAATTTCCTTTCTTCTATACTAGTCAAGGTATACACATTTTTTCCACTTGTTCTAGTTCTTTGTCTCTGATTTTACCTTTTCCTCTTTTCTTCTGATTCTTCTCCATGCTCGTCTTCAGTCCTAATTTTCTGCATTTCCTGGTTTTCTTGTTAGTTATTCTCTGTAGAGCCTCCTTGGTCAATGCTAAGAGGTCAATATCATCTGTGAAACTATGGTTAATCACTGTCCTCCCACATAGCATGACTCCTTCCATTTCATCTCTCAGTGCTTTAGCCATTACTGCTTCCAGTACAAAGTTGAGCAAATCTGGTGCTAGCGTGCATCCTTGTCTCACTCCTACAGTCATCATCTTTTTGTCAACTTCTTGTATACTCTAACCACACTCATTGGCATGCTGTATATGTTTTCTATTAGTTTAATCAGTTTCTTGAGGATGCCATATAATCTCAAAAGTTGCCACAACCTTTCTGCTCGATGCGACCAAAAAGCTGTTTGATGTCTATAAAGTTGTTTTAGCAAGCTCGATTGTAGTTTGTGTACTTCTTCAAGATCGGTTTTATCACAAATAGCTGATCTATTGTACTTCATCCTAGTCTAAATCTGGCCTATTCCGCTGCAGCCACTGCTTCCCCATCCTTCTTCCTTCTTCTCTGCAATGTCTTGGTGAATGCTTTTCGCAGCACACTCCGTAAGTAGACTCCAGTGTAGTTCTTACATTTGCTCTTGTCTCCCATTTCCCCCCCTAAGATCGGTGCTGCTATTGCTTTCCCTCATTTGCTCAGCCCTTGCTCTTGTTTGTAAATGTTGTTGAATAGCTCGTGCATCACCTTTATCATGTGTTCCTCACTTGCTTGCAGCAGCTTTGTGGTTATGTTCTCACTTCCCAGTGCCTTTTTCTTTTTCAAACTGTCTATAGAGATCCTTACTACTTCTAAGAATTCTGGCTCTCCCTTGTTCGTACTGGAAAACTTCTCCAGGTCCTTTTCATCTACTTGTGTTCTGCATGTTGTACAGCTCTTCAAAACATTCATTCCATAGCTTATTCAGCCACTCACATAATCCCATTTTTTACACTCTTTCATATCTCTTCTATGTCCATTTCTTCTTTCATCAAAGAAGTGATGTTTTTCTTTGTGGCTTCTTTCTATTCTTTCCTACTACCTGGCTCTTTCAATTTGTCCTCGTAATAAATCTTAGTTCCTGGCACGTTTTTCGGTTGTTCTCAGCTTCATCCTCATTGACACCAGCAGTAATTTGTGACCCAATCCAATATCAGCTGCAAATGATCTGCATGACAACCTACTTGATTTCCATCTGTGATTCACAGATACGAAGCCTATCAGAGTCTTAGTTTGCCCACCCTCCCCCACACATCTCCTTGTACAGATTGGTTCAACACAAGGAATGACAAGCTTCTTTTATCATATCCCCCACCCCTAACCATAACCACCATGGCAAAACTGAACAAGCAGCTGAGTGTCAGCCTGACCCATGCTAGCACACACTGGTTAGAAGTGTCCCCCCTCTTAAGTTGACATCTTACTGAACAAATGCAATAGCAGAGCTAGAACAAATGCTATGGGGCAGAGAACCATGTGCAAGACGGGTTTCAACCATCAAAGTATGGTATTGATACAGTGTGGAGACCTTCCAGTTATAAGGCAGGGGGAAAATACGACAAATACCCCCGGGTTGGGAATTTGGGGAAAGTGTTGGGGGTCTCCCAGAACTCAAGTTGACTGTAGCTTACTAACTCAGCAGCACTTGAGCTTCAACAGCCCTCTGATGGGCCATCTAGTATGAGCTTAAAGCACTACTTAACTCAAGCTAGAGATTCTTATGTGTGGGCAGGAGTCAGGCTGGGGCCAATACTCAAGTTCTATCCTGATCTAACACTGCAATGAAGACAAACCCTTAAAAGCAACCCTCAGCGTGTCTAGAATGTTTAAATGCATACTGATGGCTTGTCTGCTTTCAAAGATCTCCTATAGCACGTAACATGGGAGCTCATTATTACCTATTTTTCTCAGGCGACAGTATAAATGGATGAGCGTGTGTGCTGTGCATAGGATCAAATTAAGAGCTATGGTGATCGTTTATTGTGAATAATAGCTAACAGGACTAGCATTCGCTCCTGCTTGAAAAGCATGACACTTTTAAAATTCTTCACAGAAAAGTTATTGTTATACCATTAAGTGTTTATCATGAGGAAGTTGAGCCATTTATGTGAATTTTATAGCTTCTAGCACTGAGAATAGTGTCACATTTTAGGTTAGCCTGCTTACTTTGAGTAGTCATAGTTTTTGATTTGCCCAGCCAGGACAGCATTTTCACCCCAACTTCTGGGCCTGAATGGAAAACTTGAAGAATTGAGATTAGAATATATGTACTGCATCATAAGTAAAAACCACTCATAATTGTAACCAGAGGTGGGTAGAGAGTGGAACCCAAATTAAGTAAATTGTGTTGCTAAGGTTCTATAAACAACACTAACTGTAGAGTTGTCTCATCCTCTTTCTGCTATCTTCCTAGGAGAAAGGGCAGTCTTAAAGGTGACCTGCAAAAGAAACTATTGTTGCCCTGTATTGAATTCTTATGATATATAACTGTGGCTCAAAATTGTTGATCTCTTCAAAAACAAATCTGCTTGTTTTTTTCCCACTGGAAATATCAGACCTGTTTCTGCAGTCACTTTCACCAATGCCAAGTGAATATAAACACTGCTTGCTGGTTTGGTAGCTTTTTATAGTCACTCTGCCCTCATTTTTCTCTGGTGTACATAATGGCAGAAGGTGGCTTACAATGGAGAATTAGACCACTCACGTCTTAGATTCATTACCTTTTGCTGAAAGACTGAAGCAAAGACATACTTTATAGGCTGCCACTGGAGCCATAACTTTCCCAGCCTTCAGCTGAGGAAGGAGAAGAGGATTGGTTGAGTCTGGCTGTTTTTAAGTCATTTGCATGTTTAACCCAACTGTAACATTTAAAACAATATCAGAATAAACTGTTTCGTTCCTCCTCTAAACCTCTGGCTCTCTGA